ACCCTCTTCAGGCATTTATGGATTTACATCCGCCATGGATAAAGCTACCCTCGCGGGAGTCGCACCAATAGAGCGGAACTGAGTGCTTCAGTTTCCCTCTATCGGCCCGGCTCTCTCAATACCTCTAACATAAAATTTGGTGCCTTTTTGTGTTATACAAATTTAGGTCCTCTATCATAAAGTCTGATAATTTCGAAAAATCATCGCCAACAAAGCTCTAAAAAACCTGATTTCGAAATCAAAACAAAACATTATCCGAAAGACCCAAACCGGTGACCTTGAAACAGTTTCAGATCGTTCACATAGGGCTAGTTTAGAAACTTTGAAAGGAAGTTGTAAGAAAGCTCCATTGTATACAGTTTGGTGAATCAAGAGCATCGCTATGTAAGGAAGCAGTGTTTGAAATAGCCACAACGATTCTGTGGAGAGGGCTCTTCTCACCAAGGCTTCATCTGGATGACAACGCCGTAAAGATGAAGCCTTGGTAAAAAGTTCGTTCGCAGCCGCACGGGATCTCTAAACTGTTCACTTTTCACTTCTTCTCACAGATGACAAATCATCTCCGATGGTTGAGAAACGCTTGCTCTCAATCACCCGAGACAACCTGTTCCTGTTGAGAAAAAGGTTATGCTTCAAATGAGATTATCAAGGAGGCAAGGCCGGAAAGCAACAACCGGAAGGCGTACAGCGTTGGAGTAGAGACACTCAAAGCTCTCGATCACGAGAAAGAGGCAGAGAATTCGGACTGCACTGCTTCGGTGAAATCGCGAATGACGCAGTGGTCAAGAGCGAATCGTTCCGAAGCGTTTAGTGCCGCAAGACAAGACGTTTGGTGACATTCGGACAACTTGTCACACTTCTCGTTTCCACGGGAACTGGTCGACGACCGACTGCTCTTCCTGTATTCCAGCCGTCATGGGCGTCAACGTTCACACCCAGCTGATGTGAGAACATCTCTCGGAAGAATGACCAGCCGCCTACGAAAGATAAACGCACGTCATAGGCGAGCACGGGAATTATTCGGTGACAGGCTCCTCTGCAGCTCATAGGGGAATCATCCAAATCATGTGAATGGACTGCTCATATCCCTCGCATTGATTTTGATCTCACCAGGGACGAACATCACCAGGTCGATAGAAGTAAGATTCCGGTCAGAACAGCATTTAGCAAACCGGCAGTGGTCAGTGGGTTATCATTCCTCTTCAAAGTATTGCCAATGTGATGATATCTGCGCTACGGCCAGAAAGATGTTGAAGTAAGGCAAGTGTACTTGTTTCGAAGGCAGAGACTGGGCTGCTATCAAAAAACCAAGTTGGCCATGTGAGCTGTGGTGTTGTTAATCCATTTTAGTGTACTGCAGCAGAATTAAAGGCCGCTGTTACGAAGAAAATAGCTGAACCATGAACTGAAGTGTGGAATATTTGCGGTTGTAGGCTTGTTGGTGAGTGGGTTCTGGGCGTAGGAGGTAGTACAGTGTGCAGTGGCCACCAATAACTCGAGAAAAAACGGCTCATAGCTCGCGAAAGTGGGACCTTTCTCGCCCCACACGATGCCGCTCCCATGAGGCTGTAGTTATTTTCGAGATATCTCGCCGCTCCATGAGACCAGTACTTATTTCGAAATTATCTCGTATCCACTAGAGAAGTGTCATGATAATGGACAAGTTCATAAAATAAGCGTCAAATCTGCCTAAGACGCATTTGGCGCAAGACTCGTGCCGCACATTCCCACTTCCTTCACTTATCCCGGTTTTTGAGGGGATAGGAATCTCAGCGGTATCTGAACCAACTCACTTTCGCTTTAACACGTTCACCTAAGTTCTTGCCAGTTTTCTCCAGTTTACGGCTAGAAAGCTCCGGTTTTTAGTTTCTTGTTTCAGAGCTGCTTAACCCGATTTTCCGCAAAATGTTCAGCAACTTCACATCCGTGTCTTGACTGTGTTGATCTTGCATCCTTGTAGGATTCCTGCACGCGAACACTGCTCCCTCAATTCATCCACTATTCGCAATCCTATTAGCTTAGCTTTATTATGGTATCAAGCGGAACGCTGCCATGTATATACAATGCGCGCGTTTGCCTTTTCTTCCATCAAGATCCATTTGACCCTTCAACACTCACGTACCTATCAATACTTAGAAATTTCGTTTTTCTCTGTACTGTTCGAACATTTGGCCGTCCACATTACAATAACGATAGTCCTTGTGAAGTATCGAATGAAGTACAGTTCTTTTTTCTTCATTGTCTCAGTTTCCTCACTGTGAGGAACAAAAGACGAGAAGCGATAAGCGAAAAAACGAAGGATGACTGGAATCACGTCAGATTTTTTCAACCGAACTTTTTCCACCTACTGCTTGTACATGTTACAGATCCCTTCTAACTCTATTTACACCGAAGGAGTTGAAAAGATTGTCAGGGAAACGTAATCCTTAAGAAAAGTCGAGTACATGGCCTATCCCACAAAAAAAACTGATCGATCTAGAGCACTCTGGAATTGAATCCCTGTGTTAAGAATGATTACCAAGCTGTAGCATGGCAGCACATTTTCATTCCCTTCCTGCGTTTGCCCAGCCGATCACCAATCTTCAGAGGAGGATTCCACGATAAGGACTGAGGTCCGAAGAAAGGGAAAACTCCACCTAATTTCAGACATAAGTTGGACCCCGTATAAATGCAGCACCAACCCGTAATTCCGCACCGTAAATGCAACTATGCCTCCGCAATCAGCATGTAATCCCGGCGGCCGGACATTGGCGAGCTATTCGTGCTGTACGCCCCCCTCGCCTCGTCTCATTTCTGGGCCTCTAGCCATTTAGCAGAACGAACGTTAGCGTTGAAGAGTACAGCACCGATAAGAGTCGCATCGATGCCCAAATCAACGGGTAGGAAGGGGCCATTTCTCGAGTTCTAGGCTATTTTTCTCGGTTTCTTTCTTTCGTGCATCACTGGACCATCTCTGACTTGATTTTCCAATGGGCTCTCTCTTCATTGTAAAGTCTCGCTTTCATTGACTACAAGCAAATAATAGTGAATATTTTATTTCACTTGCAACTATGACAAGTTCAGTTGCTTAATAAAACCTAGAAAATCGAAAACACAACAACAAACTGATTAGATCACAGATATTTGACATGATACGATGGAATCTATAGAAATGATAAACACCCGACGACCCTTAGCGGGTTCAGAGGTTCTCTGAGCGAGGCAAACCTGACATGGAAAGAAGACATAAACACCTAGGATGATAGCTCATTTATGTACAAGAAAATGTTGATATGAAAATGGAAGAAACCCGTAGAAACACAAAGTGTAACCATGCACACGCACACAAGAGCTAATTAGGATAGATCAGTCACGAAAGCTTCTATGAAACCCCCAAGTTGCGAGGAATAAAAGTAGTGAGCCTTGTCCTTCTGAGAGCGCTATCACGGTCCAGACTCCTACTGTGTTATCCATCTTCTTAATATTGGAGTGGCAGGAACATTAGCCCTACGTCATGCATATTTTCCACCTTCACCTGCTGCAGCCGACTGCCAATATTTCGAGCATGGCCCACTGAAAAATTCCAAATTAGTAGTGTTTTGAAACACATAAGTCTAACCGTGGAGCAGGTACAAGCAACTTCTCACACAGATCACAGTGCCCTTAGTTAACTAAATCAAACGATAGTTCACTAACTTAGCAATGAAAGACAATTAGGAAAAAAACTCGGAATACTGAAACATTTCTACTATCATAATACTTTCGGAAGTCGCCAGTTCAGAAAAGCAAGGAGAGATGAAAGACAAATTCAAGCTTGAATGGATGTAGACAATAAGAAGAAACTATCAGAACTTACTCAGTTTAGGATCCAGCTGGAACTGACAGTAGTAGTGCAGGATCTGTTGCGATTCCGGCGTGGAAAGCCACTTCGGTACTAGGTCGAACCTGGAATCGGAAGGAATATGAGCAGATAAACCATTTCCTCGTCAAGCCGCAGCTATGTCAGCACAGTCGGCTCGGAACATGTAACGGTAGAGCTCTAGGCTTATGCCAGCAAGGTACAAATTGAGAACCGACGTGCTTAGTTTAGTGTGCATTTCTAAAAACCGTACTACGCATCATACACCAAAAAGAAGGAAGGCAAAGTAAACTACCTCATAGGATTACTGGAAAGGCACATCCAGAAACTCCAGGAAGTCACGATGAGCACTGAAATCGTTGGTACGGAACGGCCGCAGCAGCGGTAACGGATTGTGCTCCCTTTAAAAACACCGCAGTAAATTAAGTAGACGAACCATGTGAATTAGAGGATCGCGAGGAAAAATGACGACAAAAACCTGAATATCGCCTGTAATCTGGTTGAAGCTAGTCTTCACTCAAAAATTTTTTCTTCGCTTTTTGACAGTGTTGCCAACAATCGCAGGACACGGTCGATTTGCTTACGACGATGTATCCGTTCGGCTTCGGAGAAGTTATTCTGAAACAGGCGCAGATGAGCGGTGGGTGAAGTGGAAATAGGTATTGCTACCATTGATATTGGTCCGTAAACAAGATGTCTTCCATAGGTCACCAAAGTCAAGTCCATATCTTTGTTAAAAGGGGGCATCAGATATTCGCAACAGAGCCATTCAGAGCTCTAACAGCGTTCCAGCTGATAATCAACAATCTTCTGTCCACCCCCTTCGCCCCCTATTCAAAAAGGGATGTGTGGCATGAGGTCTATATGATTAGCGGACGATTAATGTGTGGATAAGAAACTTTTGGATCTCAAGGTTCGCTGAATAATCCGAGCACCCATAACACCCACGAGAGGGTGGGTGGCTTTGGATAACTCGGCAAATGGATCTAGCCCAGTCTCCAACTATAATATGAAGGTACCATCCCTGTCCTTTCTTTCCTTTCTCTCGCTAGTCGGGTTGGCTCGGCGCTTGTCACAACGAAGCACGGATTTTTTCCTGGAGCGATTCATTCAAAACAAACGCAAAACTCACAAACTGTACAAAATTGTTCCATAGAAGCCGAAGTATAAACGTGACCAGATTCGATTGATTGTAATCGTCGACAGTGTCGAGGAAGAACAGCTTGTACTCAGCAACGCAAACACAGGTGCTGAATATCGTGATTAATCATTTCATGGAAGTTCTTCTCGGGGAGAACAAATAGCATTTCGCTCAGTTGTCATCATTCCCAAATGGAATTGGATTTTGGCCGTTCAGCTTATTTCAAATAATAACAAGAAGAAGTAGTTACCTGTAGATGACCATGAGCACTCGATTCTGACACTCCACACTTCCACTAGCCAGCACATTCAGCAGCGTCTTTGCGGAATCTGCTTTTCGGCGCGATCTGGAACACACACAATTTCAGTATAAAACGAAGG